TTTTTTTTTTTTTTTTTTTTTTTTTTTTTTTTTTTATCTGAAAAAAATGGATATGCTATTAAAGAAATTTCAGTTTACTTTTGCCTATTTCCTGGGTTTAATATAATTCTTAAATAACCAGTAAATCGAGTAATTTTTAAATTGAACCGTTTAATGTCTGATAAATTTATCCAATTTATTGTAATTTTATGGCAATCAAATCTTAAGCCATTTGGTATAAAATAATTAGTAAAGTTTCATTCAAACCATATTACATAGAATAATATTTTGTTACATAAGATTACGAAGCGTGCGAAGTTGCCCAACCTTTATAATAATATATAGGGGGATGTCTGTTATTTTTGTGTCTATTCATAAAATGAAATAATACAAATATAATTTAAAAACTTTTAAAATTAATTCTTCGAATCAATAATTGATTTGATTATCCAACGGTAAAAAGATGCTTATCATGGTAACCCAGAGGCCAATTAATTCCACAAGTACATAAATAAATGTATTCTACAAGTACATAATAAATGTACATATAAGTTTATATAACACTCTCACTTGATTATCATTACTAATTGTACATACATTACTAATTGTACACACATTACAAAGCTAAAATAAAAAGTAATCTCCTTTTTACATTCTTTGTTGCTATGAAGCAAAGACACCCTCACTTCGTTTCTTTGGATTTGCTGCTGCATCTGGGTTACCTTTTCTAATCATGGCTGCAAATTCATCGTAATTTATCCTTCCATTCTGAAAAATATTTTTTGGGAAAGTTTTACTTGCTCGATGAACTTATTAACGAACACATTAAGTAGTACTGAAATGAGCGTAAACCAATTTCTATGCTTTCAAGTTCTCGGCAGATGAGAGTGCAGACGATATGGTAAAGAGCATAGCATAGTGAAGGAAAACAGATACTGTTTTATAAAATCGATCTTGCTAATATGCTAATAAATTCGAAAAAACTTATGTGATCCGAGTCGACTTCATTGATGATTTCCCTTATGTCCTTGCCGTCTTCCATGCCAAAATCTCTTAGTGCCTGCTCTAGTTCTTCTATGGTTATGTACCTGATTAAAAAAAATATAAAGGGTTACTGATAAAACTCTGTTTTCAATCTCACCTCCCTTTTTTCTTTTACTCTTTTCGAAATTGTCAAAAACACGATATAATACCCGCTGTTGTCCTTGTCGAAATACTGGAAGGCCGTGTAAAGGTGTTCTTCTCTGTCCATTCTGTTCATGTGCATTGTTGCTGTAATGAACTCTTCATAGTCGATCGTCCCATTCCCATCAGCATCCGCCTGATTTTCCATATATCTCTTTTTATTATCAACCTCGAAAGTACAAACGAGAAAAACAACTTTTCTAGCACAATCTCGTGCGGTTGTTTTAATTTTGCTAGAATACTTAAAGAACTTACAGCTTCCATCAATTGCTTCACTTCGTATTCGGACAGCTTTGTGCCCTGTTTGGACAACCCTTGCTTTAGCTCCTCGAGTGTTATTGTTCCGCTGTTGTCAGTGTCCATTCCTTTGAACATTTCTTTCAGCCCAATGATTTCTTCCTCCGACAGACAACCGGCTATGACCTACTTGTGATGCAATAAAAAAAACGAAAAAAGGATTATTCGATTTCGTTTTATCTTGATTTTCGAGAACTACTATTTTACTATTTAAGGAAAGCGTGATTTACCCATAGGGCGACTTTTTTGAACTGATTCATAGCCTTGAACTGCTTGAGCCTACTTAGAACAGCATTGTCAAGAGGAGTGTCGGCAGAGCCGGCCCTGGCTAGTATTAGGCCCTGGGCCAAATATAGAATAATGCCCCATTATATCTCCTTAATTCTAAAGCAAAATAATGGAATCCATATAATTATCCAAAAAAAATTTCCCTGTAAAATGAGGGAATTTATATTTGAAATAAAATGTATAAACTCTGAAAGGAAAACAATCAATTGTCGGTTGAATTTATCTTGGAGGCTTTTTTTTTTTTTTTAAAAAAAAAA